TTGGCTAGATAAAAAGGCAAGCCTGGGAGCAGACATCAGTAGCGGATTGGTCTTTATCGTACAAGACCTAGAAAATGGAAATATTGATGAATAGTCCAGTCTAACTATTTGGAGGTAAAGTAGTTCATTTTGTGTGAGAATTCTAGTTGTGAAAATATTTGTTTCTTTTCCTAAGCTGAAGAGCATGTCAGTATGACCAGTTAATTTACTTTTTTACTTTATCAGGTGCAGTTTTTTGGGCATATCACTTGATGTATTTACTCTATTTTGTTGATCTTTGAGAGTGCGAAACTGGACTTGCTTTGTAATATTAGATTTTCTTCATTAGAAATTCTGATTAGGTTCATTCATATGTTTTAAACTTCATGCATGTAGGTTTTCATTGGCATCAAATTGTATATGTGAGGTAGTTGGCTGGTTGACTAGGTCTCCCAGGTCTCTTCCCGGTTCTACTTTTTTCTTCTTATGCTGTTATTCTTCATTCATTTCTTGCAGTCGCTCCATACTGCAGTGCAGGGTCCTGATAACTCACCTTTGGAGGTGCAAATAAGAACACAGGTACAGCACTTATCAAAGCATTAATTATGAACATCATGTAGTTATAATTCTAGATTTGTTCTAATACTGACACGCACCATTTTCCTATCTAGCGGATGCATGACCATGCAGAATATGGACTTGCTGCTCATTGGTTATACAAGGAGAACGAGGTTGACTATACAAGTCCTAGTGATTCTGTAGCTAATGTCTCTCCCTATCAAACAAATATTTTGGAGGATGAGGTGTATACTCAAGATGAGAGCCCCTGGAAATACAGTTCCATTAAAGTGGGACACCCTGTCCTTAGGGTGGAGGGAAGTCAATTACTTGCAGCAGTCATTGTCAGGTTCGGTATCTGTTGTAACTTAATTTATTTATTAACATTACTAGGTTCTTCTTATGTCTAATGCTATCATGTAAGCATGGCTAATCCAGGGTAGATCATGATAAAAGGGAGCTACTTGTTGCTGTGAGCTTTCTTGAAGCTTCTGAAGCCGTTGCAGATATAAGATCTTCTTCTCAATTGAAGCGTTGGGAAATTTATGCTAGACTCTATAAGAAGGTAATTATGTTACTCTTGCAGATTATTTATCCGATTTATATATTTTGTTTTAAACGATCAAAATATACATTGTGGTATATGATATTGATAGATTAACAAAAGTTGCTCTTTCAATCATCTTGACTGTGAGGGTTATCTGAATGCTACCCCTTTCTATTCTCATGACAACATTTATTATGTCAAAATAACAATCAAAGTTCTTGTGAAAGATCATATAACCACATTTAATTATCTTTTTTCTTTTCTTGAATTAGAATAGTCCATTGTTGAAATTGCTAATCTATTGGTCAGTGACATTTGCCTTTCAATTGCCATTCTTTAATGTAATTGGGTTTTGCTGTGATAGTATGTCTTTTGCTTCTGTTGTTAGTTTTCTTTCCCTAAAACTTTAAGTTGGTTGTTTAGGTTTCCGAACAGTGGTGGTTCGCACCAGGACATGGGGACTGGTGTACATGCCTGGAGAAGTATACATTATGCCGAGATGGGATATTTCATAAGGTGGAAGTCACACTACATCTGATTTTATTAAGAAGTGTCACTAAAGCCAACTCCCACAAGTAATATTGTTAAAAATCAATATGGCAATTTTCTTTAGTCTCAAGCATTTGAATATCTCTCACTTATTTTCTGCCACTCCTTGCATTGGAAAAGGACAAGTTTCCTTCAAATGACAGAGAGGCGAAAGAACAAAGCTAAAACTTGAATGATAAACTAATATTAGCTATCCACCAGGATGAAATTGCATATTAATTTCCAAGCTAACAGTTTGATTATTGTAAGACTTGCTTTTTCTTGTCCAGCAAGACCAATTTCAACGACTATTACCTACCTTCATCCAAGTAATAGATCTAAAGGAGGAGGACGAAGCTGAGTATTGGATGGTCGTTTCTGCTGTATTTGAGGGGAAACAAATCCTTGCTGTTCCATCTGGTTCAAACTACTCAGAGAAAACCCTCTACTCTGGTAGCTATGCTCCTGCGGATGATGGCATCACCAACAAGGTTAGAATTTTTATCAACTCAATATTTTGGAGCTTGCTTTTCATTCGGGCAGCTAGATTATTTGGAACAAACTATACATGCAAATCTGAGGTAGCAAGCAATCACATCTTAGTAATCTGTCCATTTTGTAATATCACCAACACTCCTGCCCCATTTCATGATTACCTTTGACGGTTGTATGATTTTACACCCAGCTGGATTTGTCAGCACTGTGATAATTGTTCTAGCAGGAAAGAGCCGGCCGGATAACAATGCATATTTTTTTTTCCATGTTCATTTTACCCATACAACTGCTCATGTATCACAAAGTTCTCATGGAGATTATTTTTCAATAAAGGTGCATTTCCTGAGGACAATGCTTCAGTGGGAAGAGCAGATCTTGCTCGGAGCATCGTCAAGAGGACGAAAGCATCAATCGAGCTTGTACGGAGGATCTAATTCTGCTGGTCTTGGTGAGGTGGTGGTTATACGTTGGCCGCATGGTGAAATAATGAGAATGAAATCTGGTAGCACTGCCGCCGATGCTGCTAGAAGAATAGGCCAGGATGGAAAGCTTGTCTGGGTAAATGGACAGCTTGTGTTACCACAAACCCAGCTCAAGGATGGTGATATAATTGAAGTGAGGGTGTGAACCTAAGTTGCATGCGGCAGGCTGATTAAGAAGATGGTTGGGCAGGTCGTGGGATAGTTATTATTCGTCGAAGTTGCATTAGGTTAGTTCCGCAGAGATGGAGCTCTTTGTACAGAATTCTTTTCAAGAAGATAAAAGCTTGATTACATTCCATAGAAATATATATATACATATCATAACCCAGCAATCAATGTATCTTGTGGCATTTAGTTGCTTCTTACCAATCAGATAGCATTGGATGGGATTTGGTTCCATTGTGATACTGGATTATTATTTATCATTGGCCTGATTGACAATTGACCAAGGGATACTATCGGAGGCTCTTCTATGTAGGTGGATTCGTTCTCAGTCCAATTCAACTTTAAAATAGGAGTGGGTCAGTAACCTTATGAGCATAAAAATCATTCTTATGTTACTATTATATGAAAAATTTTAATATTAAATTTTAAAATTAAATAATAATATATTTAAATTTACGATACGTATCTTTTGATATTATTCGATTCTGAAAGCTATAATGATATACATGGATCTACAAGAAAAATTAAACTCGTCTTTATAAACAATGGATTAAGGATAAAGGAGAGATAAGAAAAAGATCTTTAATCTATCATTGATTAGTTCACATGATTAAGGAGAGATGAGAAAAGATTTTTTAATCTCTCAATAATATCGTATTTATATCTTCGCATATCCGTATATTCGAATATTGTGTATTGAGTCATTGAGAGGTCCGATCTATTTATAGACGAGAACAAAGATCTAAGATAAATAATTAGGAGAGTCTGAATACATCAAAATCATCTCCTAATTACTTCTATTGGGTCCTCCTAATTAATGTGATCATCCAATTCAGTCCAAGTTTCTTCTATTGAATAAACGATAAATCAAATTCAGTCCAAGTTTCTTCTATTGAATAAACTTCAATGTGATAAATCGTAGTCCCGACCACTTTAGTCATGATGCGATAAACTCAGAACCATTGATTGTGTCCACAAATCTGATGACTAATGTTCATGGCAGTCAAATGAATCATCAATGTAACAGTACATCAAGAAAATATATATAGTAGCTAATTGTGTAGATATAGGTTGGATTGTTTAAATACAAATGTCTTGGCAGGAAAAAAAGAAATGACTTCATAATTGTCAAGTTGGTAACCACACATGATTCCAGATGAACATAAACAACAAATGCAGATTAACATCTTTCACAGATATCCTAAACAAGACTTTTTATGCTACTGGAGTCAACACATGCAGATACCTATTTAAAAGCATAGCAATCAGAACAAGTTTTCAAACTAAAACAGAAGATTTCTTCACCAAAACAGAAGACTTTTTATGCTACATCCTCTCTACCAATGACCATATGAAATGCAATTCTTACAACCACACTTGATGAAACTTATGTTGCAGGTTACTTTGTGCTTGTTATCAAATGGACTAGATTCATAAGTTTCTGCCAATATAACCAATCACAACTACATTCCCAGAATTATGAACATATTTGACAGCTGCTTGTTCCTGCAACAAAAAAAATACCACTACAAGTTCCTCCTCATCAAACAAAATGGCTTCTGGCCTGCCAAGACGGCACATGATAAGGTCGATTGGTAGGCACAAGAGGCCTTCCAACTGGCACATACAATTCTCATAATGCGAGAAAGGTACTGGTACACTCCTACAGCACATGACGCCATTCCTCGACCCAACCTAACTGGTTTAACGGCTGTAGACACTTCAGGAGACCATCTTGGTTAACGGCTAATACCAAGATGAACCAAAAAGTCAACTGATCTTGGCTTTGGATGACAAGGATGAAAGAAATATCGGTCAAGATATTTGGATACACATCAAAGACATTGGACTTGCACAAAGGCTTATGCAGAACCTATGCCTCCACAATTATGCACACGAGAGAAAAAAACAAAGACAATTGATAAAAGGATTGACGAATTCTCTGTCTCCTCTAAAAGATCATCTTGCCACATAAAAAAAATGATTTTATTTGAAAGAAAATAGCTAGATAAAAATCTAACAATTTCAATAGGTTTTCTGCATACCCATTTTATTATAGCATCACAAAAGTAGAACTGGAAAGTCAACAGTAGAACTCAATGATCAGAACCATAAATTATGGTAGTCCATCAGATCAGTATTTCAGATACAGAAACTAGTCATCGACATTGTAATACAGCCGTAAAAGTTATCAAATTTCCAGGATGCGTGTTGTCCAGAGTATAATAAATGAAGGAAATCAAATGGCAACCTGACCCAAGATAATCAGATAAATATAAATGTTATCCAAACAACTAAGTATAACACTCTACTGGATTTATTTCCGCATACAATCATACCAAGAGGCGAATAACTAGAAGATGCCTAAACAACAAGACAAGGAGACTAGTTCAGCCTTCTTCTCTTACATGAGTGAAGTGTGCTTTCATCAACATCAAAAGAACCATAAGTGTTGCTTCTAACTCTCCTTCTACTGGACCGAGAATATCCTGCACTATTTGGTTCTGCGAGAGCATCAGTGGCAGCAGCATCTCCCTGTATCATGGCCATGGTGCTAGAAGCAGAGGCCTGATCAGCAGCCAATACTGATTCAGCGTGATGCCTGATTGTTGGTGGTTCCAGATTTAAAGGATCAGCAGATGAAGTAGATAGACCATATCCATTGCTACTACTTGCATTTTGTCCAACCATATTACCAATCTCTCTATCTGTGCCATGGTCATACATGGAATTCTGTGGCCAAAGATTGGCTCCATCTCGGAAGATAGAATTTGTATTACTTCTGATAGGGTTTGGCACATTGTTTATGGGCAATCCAAGATCCTCAGTGATAGATCCACTTTCAGGATTTACCTCTCTTTGCAGTCTTCTTGCCCTCATCCTACTTAGAGCTCTACGATGAACACTGTCAAATATTTCCTGCAGGCTTGGGTCTTCGTGCCTGTTTTCTCTATGCATGTGCTGATCAAGAAGGCGTCTCCATGACAATACAATTCCCTCCCCCAGTCTCCTTGAAACTGGGCGATACAGTTGCCTAAAGCTTTCAAATCTATTTCCACATGGTCTTGGTGGTATTGTAAGATCTGACACCTCATCCTCATTATTTTTCTCAACAGTAGGCTGCAGAGACCCTCTACCATAAATAGGTGTGATGTTTGACTCAGTTACGACTCCCTTACAAACAGGGCATTCTTTAAAATCAGAATGGACATGCAGCCATTGATATAAACATGGCCAGCAAAACAGATGTCCACATGAGGTAACAACAGGTTCTACAGCCATATCAAAACATATATTGCACTCAAAGTTAGCAGCACTTCTACCTTTCTCTTCCCTCTCCTCTTGTGAAGTTTCTGTTGTATCATTTTCAGCACTCACTTTATGCTTCCCATTATGTTCCAAAGATCTTTGGGAGCTCAATGTATCACACACTGGCTGTTCACGAATAGGCACTGATGGCGACAGAAAACTGGACCTCTCACCGGCATGCTGAAGCAAAGATCTAAATTGTCTGTTTGGCCATCGAAGGCTAGATTCGGTCAGTCTTCTGAAATGTGCCTCAGTGGTGTGAAGAGGCTCAGGCCTCGAAGAGGGGCCATCTTCCGGACACAGGATCTGACCTGTTTGCATGGGCATTGATGGGTAAAAGCGAAAGGTGGCTGTTTCGTGGTCCTGTGAATTTGTCGATCCAGAAACATAAGGTGGCGAGTAAAATACAGGTTCATCAGCACGTCTGAGTGGAGACGCAGGGTAATAGACCATATGAGAGTCATCATCCTGGACTGCAGTTTCATCGGGTTCCTGCAGAGCTGGCAGGGGTTGTACACTGGAAGGAGAATATGGAACATCAGGTCCTTCAGGGTCTCGAATAATTGGTGGAATAGCAGACGAGGATTCCCCATATCGTTCATTGGAAGGGAATGGGGTGTACTCTGGAGTGTCGATCCTATGAAATGGGAGAACAGCCGGCATGTCAGGGGTGTATTCGGCATGTGAAGGAGAGTATGGAGGGTGAGAATCCGATGGTTCCACGGCACCTGACATGGGAACTGGAACACGGACGTCCTCGATAGTGGTGGAAGACGACGGCAAGTACAATGAACTGAGAGCGAGATCGGGACCGAGACCAAGAGTGCAGGGACGAGGGGAACGAGGCAGCCCCAGGTAGAGGTTCAGATCCATCCTCCTAAAATTGCTCTCATTTCCCTAATCTGTCAATCCAAGAAAGCAAACAACCCTTGTTTCTCCAAATCCTAGCAGCAAAATCCCACCTATTCCACCGTACCATCGGAACTCCTGCACAAAACCTGATAAAAGAAGGGAACGAAAAACCCTAGCTGACTCACAAAATCGAAAGCAAGGGTTTCTACCTTCTTCAGTAGGATCAGATCTTCATTGGATAACAATAATCTTCCAATAGGGGAATCAGGGTTAGGGTTCCTTTTCTCGTAGCGAAGTGGAGACCGACATTCCAAACGCTGCAAGCTTACAGCAAATCAACGAAGCGATCGGACATTACAAGGGGATGGAAGAGCAAGCATCAAAAGGAAAAGGCAAAGCCGAAAGGTTCAGAAAGCCTCACCAGGAATTTGAGGTCCGCAAAGGCGACGTCACAAAGGGGGACGGCGTTGCTCCCCTTCCTTCCCCCTTCCCCCCTCTCGGCTACCAGAGAGCGAGCGAGAGAAATGGAGCGGCGGAGGGGTGGGGCATGTATGGCTGAGATGCACTTGTGCTGTCCACATGATCATCTTATTCAGATCAAACGGTTCGGATGTCGCAAATGGGTTCAAGGCCCGAGAACGATGCCAAAAGAGACTTGTGTACCTACCCGCTTCACCTTCTCCGTGAAATGGCTCCACCGAACGGCTCATCGACGCCGGCCCCACCACATTGCCATTGACCGCTTCCAATATATGTGGACACATCAGTAAGTAACATCAGAATACAGTCCAAGTTTTTCCCTCGAGTAACTGTTACATCAACATGGTGTTACAATAACACGGCTCTACTATACTCTACAATTTAAGCTTCCTACTCTTCGAAGTCTGAATCGGCTGATTCCTCTTCCACCTCTGAATCGCTCAGCACATACACAGCTCTCGTACTGTTCGCTCTCCTCGGTCGAGTTCTTGCCGCTGCCACTTCGTTGATCGGTGAAGGGCCGCCATTTGAGGAACCGCCAGAGTCTTCACTGCCGGAGGGTGAACCTTTGAGTCGACCCAGCACTGATCCACTTTTGTTGTTGAAAGGAGAAGCTCTCATCTTCCGGACCTTCTTCTGTGGCGAGATCCTGGTGGTGGCATTTTCCGCGGGCTTAAGCACTTCGGTGATGCGTTTCTGACTCGAAACAGGTAGTGCCAAACCCCTCTTCCTTGTCGCGGTCGTGGTAGCCTTTTCTTTGGCAGGCTTTTTCCCTCTACCTTTCCCTCCTTTGGGTGCTTCCACCACACTGAAATCCTCATCGTTGTCTTCGTCTATGGCGGGCATGTGATTTCCAGCTTCGTTATCCTCGTCATCCGACAGGTCGATCGAAGTTGCCTTCCTTGTTGCAGCGCTATTTCTGTCCGCTTGTTTTTTGTCCTCTCCCTGCCCGACCACTGCATCTGTTGTTTCCATTGCTGCAACATAGCAGACATTGAGTCTTGCACCATGTGCTACCATAATATATGTGACGCAATGCTATTCCAGTGCGCCTACCTGGGTGGTGATCCGGAGAAGAGTCGAGATTGTAGGCAGCAAGCCGATCTTTCAGTGCAAGAATATCATCGTCTTCGTCGCCGCTCTCAACCACCACACGCTAACAGGGAAGTCAGAAAACAAAATTGACTTAAGACAGAGTGGACTTCAAATATATGAAGTTATCATCACTGCAATTGAATCAACCTGCTTAGCAGGAGCTCTCTTGGTTGCCCCTCTAGGCTTCTTTTGTCCCGCATCAGTTGCAGTAGCCTCCGATCCAACAACAGATGAGTTATTTGCTGCATTCTTTCTTGGCTTCTTCGGTCCTGGTCTAGAGGGTGCAAGACCGGCAGTGGTCTTCATTCTCATCTCTTTCCTCACCCCCTCATCCTCAGCATCCTTTCGTTCTAGCTTCTGTAAAACGTATAGGAAAACTTGTAACATGACAAATGAAACAGAAGAATAATTTCATAAAGATCAGTAACAACTTAACACTTACATCCAGCTCCTCTTCTAATGCATCGAGTTCCTTCAACCATAGAGATTTTGCAGATGTTCTTCTTAATTCATCAACCTCTCCCTCTAGTCTGTCTTTATCTGCACAAAGCTCTTGAACCTTCTCTAACGTCAAACTTCCTATCGGCATGCACATCAAATATTCGTAATCGCTGGCTTTTACTCCACCCTTTCCCACCTCAGGGCTCTCTTCTTCTTGATCTTCTTCTTCCTCCACAGCTCCGGCGACAACAGCATCAATGCCTTTTTTTTTCTTTGGCATAGGAGTGAACCCTTTCTGCTGCAGTTCAAGGAACAGATCTGCTCTCTTCCGGTTACTGACTATTATCTCACCTCTAACAACACCAAGGATGAACCTCGCTTTGTTATCCAGTTTCAGTAAATCCAGCTCGAGGTTGTCCAAGAGTGCTTTCTGCATTAAGATGGTGAAAAGTTATTAGCGTCTACTACACGAAACAACCCAGAGAATTTCGGCACAACAATGACAGAAAGCTCACCTTTCTTTTTTCATAAAATTCATATCTCATATGAAAGAACTCCTCAAGAACTGCAAATAAGATTGGAGTGTTAGCAACTAATTCAAGTTGATAAGGAATGTACATTGATATTTGCAGAATGAAACTTACTCTGCTCGGGATTATCATATTTTTTTATGACACCCTTCGAATCAAACAAGTGCATATTGGTGGTGCCAATTGTTGTGGTCAGCTTGAACTTTTTCTCCAGCCCTTCTTGTCTGGCAATGTTCATATTCTCCTCTGTCAAAGTTACCTCAAAGTGGACCGTCTTGTCATCATTATACTCCCGATAATCCTGTGGATAATGCACCATCAGATATGCTTTTCTTCATGTATAATTTCTGAACTTACACAAAAACCATTTTTCAGCAATTTACCTTGATAAATGGTTCCTTGATCTTATCATTCCCAGTCATCATGGACTCAAGAAATTCCTTGTAGTCCTGGGTCCATCTACGGACCGGCAACTCTGTTATTCTCAGTGTTGTGTTGTCAACTTCCTCTATGACACCAGCAATTGTATAGGTCACACCAGCTTCCTTTGTTGCTGATTTCTCTATCCGACCCTGATATAATAATTGGAACCAAATCTTGTTTATGATCCTCTTATAGTAACCTCAAGTAGAAAAAGACAGCATAAAAAACGAACATACCTTGAAACCTCGATACCATGGGTCCATGGGTTGCATTGGTTCGTCATTCAACAATCGCCTAATGTTAGCTACAATGTCTTTTGGGTTGTAATTAGGAACGTAGGAACTCCATCCAGTTCCAATCCCTTCACTTCCATTGACTAAAACTGTAGGTATGACAGGCATATACCTGACAATTAAAATATGTGAGTCATAGATAAGCTCAAAGGAGTCCAAACAATCAAATTATAGAATGTAATCAGTGCTTTCTAGATGTTTACCAGGTGGGTTCAATTGATTGCCCATCCTCATTTAGGTAGTCAAGAAGAATATCATCATCCTTGGAGAACAAGAACCTCGTGACAGGTGACATACAAGTGAAGATATACCTTGCACTGGCATGATCTTTGCCTCCCTATGAATGGTGAGGGGAATAATGAGTTAGGAACGAAAGCATAGAGCATAATTAAGATATAAAGAGAAATCTTGAGCAAATTTACCTGGTGTCTAGTACCAAATTGTCCTTCAGGTAGCAAAAGATTTATGTTGTTGCTGCCCACAAAATCTTGAGCCATACCAATTATAGTAGTAGAAAGACTCTGCTCACCATGATGATATGCTGACTTCTCAGAAACATAACCTACAAACTGGGCAACCTGTACGACAATGAAATATGCATTAAATAAAAGATTTTAGAACTTGTTTTTAAACACTTAAAACTACTGCTTGGAAGCAAAGTACTCAAGGCTCCCCTTCCTGGGTATACCTTGGCCTGCTTTACGAAATTCCGCTTGAAGGCGCAAAACAAGATCTTCCTCTGGCCTGGTTTCAGGCCATCAACCATTGAAGGTATTGATCTTTGTAGGTCTGCCCTGGAGAACAGGATCAACTCCTTGTTGATGAAATCACTGTATTTGATAAGCTTCTGCTTTTGATCAAGATAATTGTCCGGCTGAAATAGTTTGATAAAATGTGTTTCTCAGAATAGAGTTGAAAGATCAATTGGCTACGGCTAGCAGTAATCATGAAACTTACCTCAAATTGGCGGAGCCAATTCTTTCTAGCCTCAATCTTTTTCTTGCTGAATGCTAACTCAATAGCATTACCATCTTGCTCATCCGCCCATACAAATTCCTTTTTGTGCTTGTCTATGTCCTTAAAATACTCTTTGCCTTCTTCTGATTTACTTGTCCCTAACCCCTGAATCAAGGATAGACAATGTTAAAATCTAATTCTAGTATATGCAAACAAAGATCTCTCCATAAACAATAAACAGAGAAAATAATACTTCAGGAAGATCAGATTGAGATTAGTTATGCTTTAATCAGCAAACCTTATAATACTTAATTGACCAACCACTTGAATTCCCTCCCAAACTTTCTTTCCATGCTTCATACTCTGGCATGGAATAGAATGATAGAACAGTCTTGTTCTTGTTATTAGTTGCCTGCATGAAAGATGATAGATATATTCTTAATTCTCATACATAATATTTCTCTAACATTTCAGACTATTGTGGAAAAGACAATACCTTCAAAAGAGGTGTTATAAACTCAACCATAAATGAGGGAACTTTTAGCAACGAGGGCCAAAATGTATGAATAAAGTTGATGAGGAGGCCCTTGATGTGCGAGCCATCATGATCCTGCACAGAAATGGAAGTAACTTTTTTGCCAGCAATGCAATTATATTATGGTAAGAATAGAGTGATGCACAGGGCTGACACCAAACCTGATCTGTCATTATCATGAGATGGCCATATCTCAAGCCTTTAGTACTATCATACTCCTTTCCATGCTGCAAACCAAGAATTTGCTTTACGTTCTGGATTTCTGCATTATCCATTATCTGCTTATGGTTAGCTTCTCTGACATTCAGCAGTTTCCCTCTCAGTGGGAACACACCATAGTAGTTCCTGCCCACTACCGAGATACCAGCCATCTGTGATGAAGTAGAGAATTGAGATTATGCTTTGGAATGGGAAGTTGAAAGTGTACATGACTAAATAGGGCTGAAACGACTCACAGCAAGAGCCTTTGCAGAATCTCCTTCAGTCAATACCAAGGTACACTTATCGGAGTTCCTGCCACCAGCATCGTTAGCATCCTCGAGCTTGGGAATGCCTGTAATCCTCTGCCTTTTGGCACCATCTGTTTTCTTCAATTCCTTGCTCTGCTTGAAATCAGCCCATGTAAGCAGAGTGTTTACGACTCCTGATTTAGCAACTGCAAAAAGAGAACTTGTTCAAATTATCGCAATGCTTTATCACCGTCTAGAGAAAAAACTGGAACAGCAGCATGTCAGGAGTAGAACTAACCCTTCTTAAGGAACTCTTGTGAGAGCTCACACTTTGATCCAAAGCTTCCCTGACGAGTAGTCAAGGTTTCTTTGGTCTGTGAATCGAAGGCAGGGTTATTGATGAGGGCATTGACGAATACCCATAGATGACTTCTCACATTGTGTGCTTTAAGGTTAGCATTCTTGTTTTTCTTGTTTACGACGGTCATTATATGGTTGGTGATCTGATTAGTAACACACTCAACGTGAGTTCCTCCCTTGATCGTTGAAATACCATTCACGAAGCTAACCTGTATGAACGAGAGGCAACTGATGAGACACTATGCAATCCATAAACAATGTCAAATCCAGTAGCAGATACAACAATCATCAAGCACAAGTTCCATGTGTACCTGCTGGAACTGCCCTTCACTTAGACTGACACAAATCTCCCACCTTTCATTAACCTTCTCCGCGATCCTGGTCGAACAATCCACACCAAAAAAAGATCATTTTTCTTATAATCAAAGGCTGAAATGAGAATGAGAGAAGTGCAGGTTCTCAGCAGACCTTGGAAGTGGTTCAGTTCTGGACTTCGATGCAGACTGAAGGTACAAGTTGACGTAATCGGAGAAAGTCTTTACAGGTATCCGTTGCCCATTCAACTCTACCTTGACGGACTTGCCGAGGGTTCCAGCGAGATCAACAACCCTCTTCTTCATGAGTGCAACCACGTCTTCCTCGAGACGAGTCATGTTAAATTTGGCAAGATCTGGCCTAAAGGTCACCTTTGTCCAGTTTTCCCCTTCCTTGCACTTGGTAATTGAGGGATCGGACCTTTTCCCCATGTTGTCAGAGAAAACCTACAACCCAAAGCCGAAAAGAACACACGTTCATAGTGTTAAGGATCAGATCACTCGATCAAGAAGCTTGATCAGGACAAAGAAACCATGAAATTCCTGAGCGCCAAACATGTGTTTCTTGAAACCATATCTAGATCCAGAAAAGAGGATTCGTCAAGATCGGGAGCGGAAATCCTAATTCAGAAACATCAGCAAAGGATGTGGCAGAATCGAGAGCAGAGTGCCTCATTCGTAGCTTTTTGGTGCCAGAAATAAAAAATAGTAATCAAGAAATCGAGGTCCAGATCAAGAAACCGTGGTTACCTGCTTATACTTCTTCTGCCTCCTCCCATCGGCGGTCTCGATGATGAACTCCGCGGAGAAGATGTTGGTGAGCTTGGCGCCGTAGCCATTTCGCCCACCCGTGGTCTTCTTGACGTTGTCGTCGTAGTTGCTGCTGGTGAGGAGGTGGCCGAAGATCAACTCCGGCACGTAGACCCTTTCCTCCTGGTGGATCTCGACGGGCACGCCATCGCCGTTGTTGTAGATGCTGATGCGGTTTGCGTCGACGTCGATCTCGACCTTCACGGTGTCCATGGAGGGGTCGCGCTGCTTGTTGTCGGCGGCGTTGACGAGGATCTCGTCGAAGATCTTGTAGAGGCCGGGGACGTAGGTAACGGGGCGGTGGACCATCTCGCCGTTCTCGTAGACCCAGAGGGGCTGAGTGTGCTTCTCGACGGAGCCGATGTAAGTGTCCGGGCGAAGAAGGATGTGCTCGAGCTGCGTCTTCTTCTGGTAGATCTGCTCGATCGTCTTCTTGCCCCCTGCCGGTGCTGGGGCTTCGGCGGTACCGCCCCCCGCAGCGGAGTTGTGGGCGGCGCTGGATTGGAGGGGAAGCTTCCTCTCGGCGGCCATGGCGGTGGTGGAGGAGGAGACACAGAGCTTGTGTCACGGAGAGGGGGACAAAGATCAAGAGAGATAGATGTAAATTGGGCAGAGATGGAAGTGCAGCGAGGAAGAGGATATGGGGAAGGGTTGCAACGTTCCAAGATTTGAAATTTGAATTCGTAGTGGGGCGTGTTTGAATTAAATGGCGGTGATGAGATCAGGAGGAAGGATCCAACGGGTGCGGTTAGTCAATAGAAAGGCATGCACTTCTCCCCATGTCCGGTAGAAGTATTTGTAGTTAGATTTTTGGGTTAATATTAAATTAATATGATTTATTTATATCTAAAATAACTCATATATTTTTAAAAATATAATATATAAATAATAAACATTAAATAAAACCTGTGACATACTAATACGTATAATTTAAGATTAAAATTTATTAAAATATATAAATTATTTTAGATACGAATAAATCAAAAGAACTTAAAGGTTGTCCGATATGTCTTATATAAATTATTTTAGATACGAATAAATCAAAAGAACTTAAAGGTTGTCCGATATGTCTTCTAAGTCAAAGAAAACATGACCTGCTACCTCAATGCTGCATAGCATATCACCTAGAACCTGAAAAGAGAAACAGTAGCAATGTATAAAATTCTCCCTCACACCAACCATCCCAGTGTCTACAAAAACATCGAAGAGAAATGATGTTGCCAAACCAAATTAAAAAAAAAAAGCCAGAGGAGTTTTACTCAGCCGACGACAGTTTCATGTGGAACAGGGAGATGGTACCAGGTTCCATCAAATGCAGTAGCTAAATTGCCTACGCATCCACAAAAGAGTTGATAAGCATTTGACAATAAATAACTGACTCATATGCATATAAAGTTTTACAGATCTGGCTCTTTCACATGACTGAAATTTATGATTTATGTATACTAATCAAACTGTTGAACATACTAAAATTTGCAATTAGTAATTTACACGAGTCGGCCAACCAAACACCACTGAGAAAGTTCTTGAATAAGAACACACCTTTGAGTACCGAGATGCCAGGTTGACTAGAAGTGCTATGCTAAAGAAGAGCAGCTTGTCATAGGAGCCAAATATATAACTTGCAATGTGACATTTTACAGCAACAAGCAGGGCGCTTGTTTGCCCTTGGTGACTGGTAAAACAGAATTAGCTTATCAATATAAGGACCCACCTTTGTGACCGATCTAATCGGAAAACTTCATTGGAACATTCACCTCGGGCCAAAGTGTTTGTGAGTAGTGTACATGAAGCATTGAATCAGGTAGTTGGACATATTGCATGAAATTGTCACCTATGATGGAACTTATTGTTGGATCGACCGTTCAAATATGATGGGTCACAGCAGTTGATGGCCTCCTAACTGCTTCCAGAATCCTACTAAATGCTACCTTCACAGGGACACATGTAACTGAAGGCAATTGTCCTTCTGGTTTCATCAAACCACTCAATATATCACGATCCCTACCAAGCCTCACATCACCATTCTCTCTACTGTTTCTCTGTTCAGTTGCAAAAGAGGATAGTGTTCTAGTTTTCTGGCTTGACAAACTTGCTCTTTTTAATGACTTTTTCTGGCTATTACCCAAGGGTGGTCGGAGATCATGAAATACTTTCTTCTTTGTTGACCTGGACTGGTTTTTGGAATGACCAGAATACATGTCGGGTAGATGTTTGTTTTCTATTTCTGAATACAGAGACACCCCAGCTTCGTCATCCTCCAAAGATGATACTGGATTAGAACGAGGTACTCGTTGCATGGCTGTTCTTCTGGCAGTCCTCCAGACAGGTTGGTGTGCTGTACTTTCATCAGGATTGCTAGAAAAATATTGGCCAGTGGAACCATCTTCTAAGATTTCAATCTGGAGAGGGTGGCCTATAATTGCTTTTCCATTCAATCTGCTCATTAGAGAAACCAGAGGAACATGCTCACCTTGATAGCTTGCTTTAACTTTCAGATCGACATTAAACAAATTCGATCCTATCTCTCTGCTGATATGAGAAGAATAAACAGGATCATAGCACTCACCAGATTCTTCCCAATACTTCCTTCGAGTCACATAAGACGGTCCATCAGCTTCCCAGCCTGGAGTCATCATTAAATGAGAATCACTTCCCAAATTGTTCATGCCAATGCGGCGTCTCCCTGAATCCCTGGCTGCTTTGGAGACTAGAGGGTATCTTTGATTAGTATATCCAATGACTTGTTCTTGAAGAAAATCCCCATCACTCAAGTCAACATCATCAGAAGCATAATTATCCTCCTCTTTGATATGGTAGGAATCTGGTTCTACAGTCCTCTGGCTGAAAGGTTCCATCTTCTCCAATTTCAAATTGCTATACTTGGCTCCATATGCAGCTTCCTTTAAGGAAACATCATATTTATCAGAACCAATGACACAATTCTTGCCATCCCTTACATTGCTTGGCCTCTTAACTAGATTTCGGGTGTTGCGTTTGCCTTTCATATGCCACTTGGAAACTCCCGCCTCAGCAGAAGCATCTGCAGAATGTCCATAAGGATGCAACTGGGAAATGTTGCCAGGAAAAGGCACTTCATCATTGTCCACATCTTCAAATTTCTCCGAACTATGAGATGCAGAAGCGTCACGATCTTCTGGTCCAGATTCAAACAATTGACCACTATCAGAAACCATTGAAGACATGGTTCTCAAGGAAACTATAGCAAAATCAATTAGCATCAAAAGCACATAAAACTTAACATGCGATCTCAAATCATCAATTCTGCAGATGAATTCAACGTCATCTTCACACCATCACAAGTTATTTCCAAACACTAAAATTAATACACAATCATTAATTTAGAAGTTGCAATGGCCAAATCCTGAAAAAAAAAATCAAGCAGGACTGTAAGTTTTGTTTGTATACCATAACAAGGCTCTAGATGCACCAACAATTTAAAACACATTGTTAATATGCATATTTGGGCCCCTCAAGATCGAAATTAAAGATTATGAAAATATCATTTGTTTCCATTTAGATTTAAGGATGTTATGCAAACAACCAGCAGAAAAATCATTAGTGGTGTTCTTTTTTCTCTTAAAGGCATCTTTGGATTTTTTGAAGTAAGATTATTGCAATGCTGTGCAACGACTTTCAACCTATGCATCTGAACAATATTCCATTTTTTCATATTAAAATCCTTTACAAGTCTGCATATCTACTCAATCTACAGTTTTTAATCTCCAAAAAGAATAAACAACAAGATAAAAGATAAGGAGGCAAATAGCAGAGGAAATAGAATTTATAGTCTCGAGGAAGGAATTAGAGACAGAAAGAGGATTATAAGGAAAAGAAAAGAAGAAAAGGACTTAAGTAAAGCATCGGTCAGTGGCTATTAAAAGTTTATTAGACATGGACCGACACATCCTGATGCAGAATTATGCATAGCCACTAATCCCTGCATTTTCAGGCTACAGCTACATAAACTATAACTACTGAAAAGTGATACTTCAACTAATTTATAAACAAGCCCAAAAACTGTTAGATAATTGACCTTAACTGCACTCGTAACTTCAAATAAACTAAGCTAGACCAGCGAACACTACAATTCAAAACAAATATTGTGGGGCCATTAAAGATACTGGAAACATATTTTAGTTCTTTTTGGTTCACCAGAAAACATAGTTTAATTAGGGTTTTTCTTGCCACGCCATTCTTATTGCCCATTAATGCCCATCCAGTGCTCTAGGAAAAAAGCATGCACATTTATAAGGCCCAGAAAATGAACAACATGGCCAGTCAGAATAGCAGAGAACAAAACATGTGGCAATATATTGCAATCCTTGGAACATAAAAAAGAAGGTTAGTTATGTAACAACAAATAAGTATACCTAGCTATTCTAAATGGACCTGGTACTAAAACAAAAGATTCAAAATTCATCCTTGAGACCAAAGTATAAAAGATTTTGGCTACTTCTGAAATGGAGCTAAGAAAAAGAAAGTGCAATGAACTTGAGTTCATCTAAGAGTTCCTGTAGTCACATCGCCAGTTCTTGTAATGACATCTGCAACACCATCAAAGATGACACAGCAGCATCACACCAGATAAACAGTTAGCTTTTAACCAAGCGATCTACAATAAAAGCAAAGAAATAGAAGCCAGAAACACAAACTCAAGAACTTGATCCATCCCTGATGAAGAAAAAGAAAATAATAGATGAACAACTCAAGCATGGTACCTCCCAAAAAATCTTCCTCCTCCATCCCAGTCTCCAAGTAATCCTTTAGAGAAGAATCAGAGTCAGTCATCTTGATCATTCCAGAAGATGTGCAATCTTCTTCTAAAGAACCAGGTCGGTCAAGGCTATCCATTCCAATCTGGTCTGCAGGTATCTGCATATCTTCAGAAGAATATCCTCCATCCTGAGAATCAACTGAATCAGCAGGCACATAGATGCATCTACTTCGTTTTGCCCGACATATAATACCCATATGGTCTTTTCTCCCTTGTGTTCTGACAATGTCAGGATAATGAATAAACTGGGAAGAATCAGAAGACTGCAACTTTGCACTACTTTGTAAAACTTGATGAAGGGGCCGACGTCTATCACGCTTTTTCGCTAGAGATTCTTCAATCACACCGCCATGTGACCTTTTTCTATTGATTTCCAAGGCATCTTTGACGCTACTGACATGACCTCTACCACCCACTATATGCCCAGCACTAGGAAAAGCATCCATGTTATTCTCAGCAGGTTCCTTGGTAGTCAACCAAGGAACAGACTTGGGGAGCTTTTTCTTTGAAGCAATCCGCAGACCAAAATCCTGCAGTCCTCTCATCCGATGAAAGGTATCCGAAATATCTTCTTCCCTTCCTATTTGCTTACTATTTTTATGATCGTCATCCATTTTCATAGAATTGTTGATATTCTCTTCCTCATGCAACAAACCTGCTTTTCTGGGAAGCATCTGAGTCTTGCGAATGGCATTTTTACTATTTATCAAAGATTCATCATTTCCTGTGAGTGTATCTGAAGCTGACAAGTTAATAAACTCTCTTTTTAAAGTACCTAAAGGTTTGCCTGTAATTCCATTAGAGGTGATCACTTGTTTTTGCTGCTTCATTTCAAGCTGCTTTCTTTCAAGTTCAAGAGCATGAAGAATAGCATCCTCTCGGCGTGCATATTTCTCCCTTTTCTTTATAGGAACACCTAAGGAAGCTTCAGCCTTTTCAATGCAGGCATCAAACTCCCC